GAAAGCAGGAGGATGGAGGGACGGAGGGAGGAAGGAAGGAAGAAATCAAAGGTAAAGGAAGGAAGGAAGGAAGGAAAGGAAGGAAGGAAGAAGGAGGGAGGGAGGAAGGAAAGGGAAAGAGAAAAAGAAAGGAAGAATGAGACAGGTGAAAGAGAGAGGGGAGGAGGAAGGAAGGATGGAGGGACGGAGGGAGGAAGGAAGGAAGAAATCAAAGGGGAAGGAAAGAAGGAAAGGAGGAGGGAGAGAGGAAGGAAAGGGAAAGAGAAAAAGAAAGGAAGAATGAGACAGGTGAAAGAGAGGGGAGGAGGGAGGAAAGCAGGAGAAGGGAGGGAGGAATCAAAGGGGAAGGGAGGAGGGAGGAAGGGTGGAGGGAGAAAGGAAGGAAAAGGAAAAGGAAAGAGAAAAAGAAAGGAAGAAGGAGTGATGAAGGAGTGGGGGGAGGAAAGCAGGGGGAGGGAGGGAAGGGGGAGGGAAGGACCCTCCCAGTAGTTTCTTCATTGTAAATCAGGGGCTGCTTTAAGACTTGTCGACTTCAACTCCCAGAATCCCCAGCCAGNTCCTCCTCCTTTTCTTCTTCTCCTTCTCCCCCTCTCTCTCCTTCTCCTTTCATTCTCTTTTTCTCTTCCTCCTCTCCTTTCTCTTCCTCTCCTCTTTCCTCCTCTCTCTTTCTCCTCCTTTCATTCTTTCTCCTTCTCCTTTCGTTCATTCTTTCCTTCTCCACCCTCTTTCTTTCTCCTCCTTTTCTTCTTCTCCTTCTCCCCCTCTCTCTCCTTCTCCTTTCATTCTCTTTTTCTCTTCCTCCTCTCCTTTCTCTTCCCCTCCTCTTTCCTCCTCTCTCTCTTTCTCCACCTTTCATTCTTTTTCTCCTCCTCCTCCTTTTCCTCTCCTTCTCCTTTCTTTCTCCTTCTCTTTCTTTCTCCTCCTTTTATTCTTTCTTTCTCCTTCTCCACTCTCTTTCTTTCTCCTCCTCCTCCTTTTCCTCTCCTTCTCCTTTCTTTCTCCTTCTCTTTCTTTCTCCTCCTTTTATTCTTTCTTTCTCCTTCTCCACTCTCTTTCTTTCTCCTCCTCCTCCTTTTCTTCTTCTCCTTCTCCCCCTCTCTTCTTCTCCTTTCATTCTCTTTTTCTCTTCTTCCTCTCCTTTTTTCTCCTGCTCCTCTTTCCTCCTCTCTCTCTTTCTCCCCCTTTCATTCTTTTTCTCCTCCTCCTTTTCCTCTCCTCCTCCTTTCTTTCTCTTTTCATTCTTTCTTTCTCCTCCTCCTCCTCCTTTTCTTCTCCTTCTCCCCCTCTCCTTCTCCTCTCCTTCTCCTTTTCTCTTTCTCCTCTCCTTCTTTCTCTTCCCCTCCTCTTTCCTCCTCTCTCTCTTTCTCCACCTTTCATTCTTTCTTTCTCCTTCTCCTCCTCCCTCCTTCTCTCTCCTTCCCCTCCTCTCCTCCTTCTCCTCTTCTTCTTCCTCTTCCTCTCCTCCTCCTCCTTCCTTTTCTTCTGCAAACAGAAGCCCCGATTGCAAAGCGCGAGGTTTGGGGGATTTGTGGGGGGGGAAACAACCTCCCTTTTTTTGTCATCTTGTTGTGATTGTTGCATGCCTGGGAAGGGGGCTTGTGAAGATTGGGGCTTTTCGGTTCCGCTTCTCCGTTGCAAAGAGAAAAACGGGGTGGCAACGCATCCCGTTGCAATGCTTTTCTTTTTTTGTGCAAACTTTTGCAAAACGGAGGCTCCAGTGGCATGGCTTGAAAATGTGCCCGGCGTGCTTTCTCGGCTGTCTGGAGTTGGCTGCAAATGCAGGAGGTGGTGGGGAGGATTTTTTTAAAAAAAATATTATGATTACTATTTTGCATGAATACTTTTTGCTTCAGAGGGGAAACTAGCTCGCATCGCCTTCATTTCAGAAAGGGAAAAATCCTGATGGTTAAAATTTTGTGCCTGTATTTTTCCTTCTTTGGTCATCCTTGGCTCTGTTTTGATTCCCAGGAAGAAAAGAGGCTGTTAATTGTTTTCACAACTAGAAGTAAAAAGTTTGTTTTGCTCTTTAAAAAAAACCCTTCCCAAGCGATCACTCTCCCCCCTCCGACAGCTCTTCACTGTTTGTTCCCACAATGTTGAAAACTTTTGTTGTTTGTTTTGGTGACTCCCCCACCCCAACCTCCAGACTGAATTAGACTTAATAATCTTTCAGAAATCCTGATTTAACACAATATTCAGGCCTGTCTCTTCGACTTTTAGAAAATGCAGATTAAAAAAAAAAAGATTTATGATCATCGTTGTTGCAGCTCCTCTGTCTCGTTTTCAGAAAGTGGAGATTTTTTTTTAAAGTTTTGCGATGATGGTTGTGATTTCTGTCTGTTGGATTTTTCAGAAAGTGTTTTTTTTCCCCCAAAGAAAAAATTGTAACGCTTCTAATATTGTTGTGCAGTTTCTGTTTGAAAGCGTGAGCTTGGAGGATGTTTCAAAGCATCTTTAATGGATGCTGCATTTCCGCCCAAGGTAAGATGCAATTTTTTGAAAATGTTGGGCAGAAGGAAAATGAAGGGAAATTTGAGGAGGCCCCTTATGTAGACATGTGCGTGTCTGCATTTAATTGATGATTTATTGTTTTACTATGGAAACTTTTTAATGGTCTTGTTATTCCCAGTATCCCCATTGCTGGGATATAATGATGTGTGAATTTGCATCCAGAAGTACTTTTAAGTGTTTAGAGAGTCCTCTTGCCATATGTGTGTGTGTGTGTGTGTGTGTGTGTGTGTGTGTGTGTGTGTATATATGTTGTTGTTGTTAGTTGCAAAGTTGTGTCCAACCCATCGCAACCCCATGGACAATGTTCCTCCAGGCCTTCCTATCCTCTGCCATCCATTGAGTCCATT